TTTTGAAGGTAATTCATAGCGTAGGTAATCGTTTACTTGTGGATAATTATCTCTACCTGTAGGTAGCAGAAGGTAATGGTTATTGAGATCCAGATGCATCACTAACAAATGCCATTTTAGGAAATTACAAATACTTAGACTGAGTTATCGGTTTAATTATTGAGGATGTGACTGGAACTGTACAGTAAACACACCCTTTCCAGTTATTCGATTCCCTGCTCCTGAAGCCTAGGTGAACAGAAGTAAGAAATAATTTGTTGTTATTGGGAAGTCAGTGTTCCTGTCCCTTTGTGCTAGCACAGGCACACTAGATGTCTGGGATGTCTACAATCACTGAAGACAGATCAGCAATTAATTGCTGCTTTGGTGAAGCAACTGTGTAGAATTTGGATTGATAAGAGTGCTTTGGGATAAGTGAGTCAGTATTTGCTAAAGCAGGTAGCAGCCTTAGGAGATGCCTTACTCTCTATAGGTTGCAAGCTCATTTTCAGTGGGGATAAATAGGGTATCTTCTTGTGTATCAGTTTTTGCCAGTGAATCAGTCCAGGCAGAGGTTCCTGCAGTGCTTGTGAACAAAGTAATACTGTTCCTGAATGTCATGTCACCTTCTTGACTCTTCTCAATGTCTGCTGCCCTGGGAATGAAATTGAGGTTTTTAAGGATCAGTTGTCCGCTCTAAATGGCAATGCTGTGTCTTCTTTTACACGCTAGGAGTACATGCATGTTGTCTCAGGCTTTAGCATTATCAGAAGATTGCTATTGATCTGTTTGAGCATTTGAACTCTCTCTCGATGATATAAAATACCAGAGTTTTGAACAAAAGAGCAATGTATCCCAGTGTATATTCAACAGTGACAGATATTTGAGAGGAAGACCAACAAATTGATGGGCTTCTAGACAGCCGTTCCCTTTTCCCATTAATGGGCTGGACTCATTTTCTCATTCACTTAAAACTGTTTATTTTGCACATGGAATCTGCTGAAGTTTCCGTCTTTTTATTCCTTCTTCCAGTGCAAACTGTAAAAAACAAAAGCAAAGCCCCTGACATCATCTTGCTGCAGCAGTGGAGCGATTGGTTTTTTTTTCCTTGTGAAATACTTTGTAAGTACATGGTGTTACTTCCAAAAGGGAACAGGCTGGAGACATGCCTTGGAATAAGAAGCAGGTCTGCATGCTGTCATTCTAATTTTGCATTAGTGACAATATGAAATTCAGCTCTGCCCCTCAAGAAGGGAGCAGAGGCTTTTCCAAAATGATGAGAAGAAAAAAAAAAAAAAGCCTGAAGTTTTGCCTAGCAACAAAGCAATATCTTGTTTCCTAACACCACACGCTTCAAGTCCTGTTGGTTTTGGGGCATGCTGACTTCCCCGTTTTGCCTTTAGATCAACATGGGGCTTCTGATTGCACTTGGGGTAAGTCAGAAGAGCTGATTTAATACCACAAAAATCTTCTGCTCGAATCGGTTTGTACACTTGGCACAGTTTGATTTGTTTGTTAAAAAAGCCTACCAACCAGCAAGTAGCATATATAAGAAAGCTGATGGTTCGAGTGGATTGCATATGGCCCAGGAGAGGCAAGTAGAATAGGAAACATATGTTTGGCACCCACAGGTACCGCAGAATCAAGCGAGTGTGAATTGCTAAAACGTAGTTTACATAATATGGTCAATAATATGCAGCAGATGGAGTCTGAGTGTATCGCTTAAATCATGAAATCTCTGAACACTGTAAGGGATTGCACAACAGCAAACTTTAACTTTGAAGGTAAATTGATGAATGATTGCTGTTTACTCGAGCAGGTGGAAACAAAGCTAACTGAATTAGGCTGTTTTTTGGTTTTTTTTTTTACTTTGGATGGACAGTAGTGATGCCTGCTAATTTGCATTAAATTGTTCATGTTGGGATTTGAGCAAGAAAAAAATCTTGTTGGGTAGTATGCGAGACCCAGAATTCCCCTTGTCCTGCCTTTAGAATTAAGATGTTGCATTATTTTGTTAGCAAAAATTGTCTGTGTTCATAGTCTTACAGCAAGGGAAGGAAATTCTTCTGTCCCTTTGCCTCATTTTTGTTGTTTGAAGACCACAGTGTGGGAACCTTAGGTGTGTTCTTACTGCCTGTGTGGTCAGGAGTCCATAAGAAATTCAACTAGAAGACTGTGAGTTTAACTCAGTACTAACTAACGTCTCAGCAGAGATGAAAGTTGGCACATATATAGTCTTTGCTTGCATCTTTTGTTGTTACATACTTTGCCAAAATTCAGTTTGGCTATTTTCATTTTATGCAAGTGTGAAAAATGTTATCTGTTTAAGTTGCTTCTTTGCACTTCTATGAATAAAAAATGGCTTTAATTAAATTAAGAAAGAGTTTTGACAAGTGATTTGTCTATAATATGTACTTATGGTTTGTGGCATTTCAAAGAATAAATAACCAAGATGTTGAGGCTTAAACATTGGCTGCTGCACATGTTCTGTCAATTCCTTCGTTGAGAGAGAAACGTTTCTTTGAGTGTAGATTCAGGTTCAGATCCTGTAGTTCTGCATATTCAGATTTCGCACCACCTTTGGAGGTATGGGAGAATGTACTGGAGGGAGAGCTTCAGCCTGTCACTGATGTGAATGAGCTGAACTGGAAACAGCCCAGAATGTCTCAGGGGAGGTTTTGAAGGCAAGCAAAAGCAAGACTTCATTTTCAGCTCTACAGACAGGCAGGAGAATCAGAAGCAGCAGGAATTTAGATAAATCTGTGCACAGAGGAAACCAGATAAGCTGCAGCAGGTTAGAGAGAATTGAGACTTGGAAGAGGCTCTGCTCCACTACCAGCTGCAGGAGGGGAGAAGTACAAGCAATTCATTTTGGGTAAAAACTTGTCTTCTAAATATTTACTGCCGTAAAACTGCTAAAGGAAGACTGCCACTCTGGAGGCAATCTTGCACATCCTTTTGAAAATCTCTGGCTGGGAAACAATTTCACAGCCTATCTCAAACGGCAAGGAAGAGATTTCTTCAAGACCTTTGCTGCTTGTGGCTGCATCCTGGCTGGTGGGCATGGTGAGGCTTGTGTTCTCCTGCCTGTAGCTGTTTCATAGCTAGTAATGTATGCAGGCTGACTGGGGACTGGGGCTACTGAGAGTGTGGACAGGCAACAAAAAATGGATGTCTAGTTAGCCTCTGCTGGTTAGGCTCTTCTCTTGTAGGGAGTGCACGCAGTTGTAGCAAGGTTTTGCAAAGCAGGAAACAGTTAATGAGCTAGGGAAGAGGAGATGTGCTAGTGAACACCCCAACTACTCCAATTTATAGTATCGAGCTGTGCAGTCAGAGCTGCAGTCCCTGGAGGAGGAGATGTGGGCTTTGGAGGCCTGCAATTCACAGAACAGGAGCTGATGAGAGCAGTGCTTGGAGTGTGCCTAAGAATTGAGCCCAAGGTGGTACGAACTGAGGGCTGTTCTAGCTTTGCTGAGCTTTAGGTTTGTTTTAAAAATACAGCCTGCCAGTAGCCAAGAAGCATCCCAGAATGAACCTATCAGCTCACCCCAGCCTATTGTTTTAGTGGCTGCCTTGAAATCACAGGCACTGGCACCCCTGCTGCTTAATATGTCTTGCTGTCACTGTAAGTGCCTTCAGAAAGCCATAGCTATGGGTGGAGAGGCAGGTGACACACTATTAGCAGTGACACATTGCTTCTGAAGAGCTGAGCCAGTGTCACATTAAACAGTGCAAGCTGAGGGCTGCCTCTGCTCTTTGCTAGCAGGGAACTTTCCGAGCTTGCTCTGAGAGTGGCTGTGCTTTGTTCTGCAAGTCAGCTGCACTCTGTCTCGTTGGTACAGCCTACCTTTTTCTTGCTTTTCCTTTTATTCTTGCTGACTCTTTGACACCCACCACCTCCCTGCCAGCCTGGTGAGGCTGATCAAGCTGTTCAAACAACTGGAAGACATCAGAAGTTAAACACTCATTATTTTAATTTGATGCTAATCATGTGTTAATGAGACTAATCCTTGCAATGATTCAGGTAATTTGCTTAATGGCTGCCCAGAGTACAGATTACAGCAATCAGTCACGTCTGATAAGATGTCTGTTGTGGAGGAGGTTGTCAGGTGAATGAGGTGGGAGAAGACTAAGGAGTGAGGTCTGATCTCATGCAAGTCAGGAGTCCTCGACTATTTACAGGAGGGAAAAAAGTCTTGCTGCACAACCTTGTGCTTCCCAGAGAAGTTATTTTCCTCCATTAGCCAGGATAAAGAAGTTGAAATAGGGGTGCTTGGGATTCTGTCAGCTCTGGAGGTCAGATATTCTCTTGCCTTGAGAAGGGAGTAATGTGTGGCCCACATGAGTGGGACTTGTGCTTTGTGATGTCATTTGGATCATGACAGAGACCAAGTATAAATGAAATCTGGATCTGGTATAATCTGATAGATATGAGTTCTCATCTCTAGACTTTATGAAATCGAATCATTAAGGTTGGAAAAGCCCACTAAGATCACCTAGTCCAACCGTCAACCCATCACCATCGTTGCCTCCTAAATGATGGGCATAATTCTGCTGGGATTATTGTCTGATCATGTACTAGCTGGAGCCCTCTGCTTTGGTTTCTCAGTTCTCTTCAAGAATAGAAGCAGAGCTGCTGGGCTAAGTCAATGGGGTTTTAGTCCTCATTGGAGATGTTCTTATGAGTAGTCTATATACTCCCAGTAAGACCTGTAAGCCCTTCAGAATAAAGGCAAAATAATTTAGGCATTTAGTTCATAATGAATGCTATGCAATGTATGTCTTAAACATTAATAAAATGGATACACATAGGTGATTACTTATAGAGAGAAAAGAATAATCAGCAATGATAGCAAAAGGGAAAATATAGAAGGCTTTTATACGTAGGTCACCACAATTTTGTTCTGACAGTAAGTAACTTAAGTGTTACTTAAATGTAAATTTTTGAGTACGCTGCACAAAACAGTAGGATGAATATTCTGGTATTTGAAAGTATTTTAATATTTTATTATTGGTTTCAGAAAAACACTGAGAATCCCAGAAGTTCACCAGAAAAGCAGATTTGGTTGAAAAGGCATTTGTGGTGCTTCGGACAGAATACGTGAGTTCACACTAGGGGACCTGCACTACATTCCTGGATGGTCTGCTGCCTTCTCCAAGGTGAGTTTACCTGATTGTGGTGCTCTCATGTGTTTCTCCAGCTCCTTATATCTACTGCTTCTAGAGTTTAAATATTCTGCAGTACAGAAACCTGTGTTTACACATGTAGCAGGCTACGAGGGCAAGACATCAAAGGGCTTCTCTCTGCCAAAGCTACTTGGGAGAAAAAAATCCCAACAAAACACACAATATTTTCTTGACTGCTGTGGGCAAATCACATAAGGAGGTAAGTCTTTTACTTATTTCTACAGATGAGGAAGGAAGATGTAAGTGGGTGCAATCATGAAGAGTAGGTAGGGAATAAACTCAGACTTATAGACCTTAATTATAAGGCTCAGTCTTGATTATCTTCATGTTGTATCATGCGAACTGGAAATGAAGGATGCTTCTGTTTGCACTGGAACTTGAGATATCCCCCAGGAAGCTGTACTGTACCCTCACTGTATTGCAACAGATCTTAGTAAAAAGGGGAAAAACAGTTTAATCAGCAACTAAAATAACATCTCAGTGGGGAAAGGAAAGCAGTATTTTATTACCCTGCTAAACACCTAGTGCACTGTCAGCCCCCCCCAGAGGCTTGAATAGAGCTGTTAAAAATACAGTGAGCAGACTTGCAAATCACAAAGGATAGGAATTCCTCAGCACTACAAGAGTGCCATCAAGGGATGTTTGGCTTCAGTTTCCTGCACTGAGATGCAGGTAAATGAACCAGGGTTTAGGATTCCTGGAAGAAAAAAAAAAAAAAAAAAAAAAAAAAAAAAAAAAAAA